TATTTTGTTGTTTTTTCTTTTGTATTTAAGTGTGCTTTAAAGTGTGCTAAATAATGAAAAATGTCTTTTCTAACTACTTTCATTTTATTTTCTGTTCACTTGATATTATTATTTAAACATTGGAATTTATCATTTTTTATGCTGCTTACAATGGGCGCTCTGCGTCCGATAGTACAACACGATTTACTTGTGTTCTTCTCTAATTTATCAATAAAAAAGTTTATACAAAAAAAAATAATAATAAATCTATAATCTCGTTGAGAAAATTTATTTGGTATTTTATTTGTTATCCAAGTGCTAAAGAACGTTATTAGTGATTGCAGTCGGCGCATTTTTGTCTGCTGTATTAACCCTTTACACTCGCCGGTCTCTTATAAGGGACAGTGATGTGATAGGTTTATAAAAAGAATGGATGTATCATCAGTCCGAAAGATAAGTTTTTTTCTAATATAAGACAACAAATCACTTTATGTTTGATTGAAATAAAAAGACAAATTTTGCATTTTAATGCAGTGGTCATTTCAGCTGCAGCTAGAATACAGTTGTCTTCGGGTGGAAAGGGTTAATTTTACTTGTAAATCTATGGGAATACGCAAAAAAAGTGAAATGAGATGAGTGATGGTACGGGTGAGAATAAGACATTCTTGATAACGTTTTACCGCACATTTATTCGCCATAAGTTTCCATGATTATATTTTTACGTGCTTATGGTGGACGTTAACCGCAGAAGATTTGGTAGAACGAGCTACTCTCAGTTCCTTAAACTCGTCCTTTTATATATGCAACATTAGCGTCTGCTCGAACGAATTTTTGGAACTATACAATAATTAGTTTTCACATCTTGACTGAATAATCAGCAGATACTGAAGAGTATTTGGTAAGGGTTTGACGTCAAAATGATGTTCTCAGACCCGGTTATGAATTTTTTTACCTCTTTCTTGACTTTTGTCTAGAATATAACGTACTATTTACTGATGAGGTAGCTAAATTGTTTAAAAAAAAGAGAAAGTGAAGCATTATACTTAATGCTACCCCGTCCCTCTTTTTTGAAAAAATTTCGGATTTTGAGCTAAGCATCAGAGTTGAAACTGGACCGGTTGTGTGTCGGCCAGGTCCAGTGCCGGTCCGGTGTAAAAGTTCAGATCGGCCGATCCCCGCCGATCTAGAAAAATTTTCAAACCGGACAGTGTCGACCGGTTTTTTGCCGTTTTTAGAATTTTTAGCATTTTTCTCGTCTTCATTCAAAAGAAACTTGATACAACAGCAAGAGAAATACGACAAAGCGAGTGAACACCACTTTTTCCTTAAAGATATTTAGTTTTACTGATAAAATTTCTCAATCGGCTGTTTTTTTTTTGCAGGTTTCCATCATGCCGATTTTTCACTGGTTTGGAAAATTTCTGAAAACCGGGCAGCTTTTTGCTCGTTTTTCAAAAAGATTTTTGGGCCGGCCGGTCTGGAGTTCATTGTGTCACACTATGTGCCCCCTTAAATTTCATCCGATCGAGTTAAAAGTTTTACTAGAGGTACTCAAGACGCTATTGCGAATGTATTGTTTTTGAATTTTAGGCCATCTTTACCGAGTTCTAGGGTTTCTAAAATTGAAAACTTTGTTTTTGAGACGCTTTTCAGTATTTTTCGTATAACTACAAGAAAAGGTTTTCTACGATCTTACACTGGAATTTGTTTAATTCGATCGGATGAAACTTAAGGGGATCGTAATGTGACACAAGCAAAATTTGAGTTTTGTGGAAAACTTTTGAAAGAAATCAGTAGTAGTTCATAAATTATTAATTTGTTGAGGATGGTCCATGCAAAGTGTTTTCCTTCCAATACATCTCCAGCCCAGGTCCAGGAGTGATGGTTTTGTAGGGTATCATTTTTCATATCATTGTTTTCTAAAAAGGGCAATATGGAGTTAAGCATATTTTCAGATAGCCCAAGATGTCTGCTATTAGAATCCATAACACTAATATCTTCACCAAAGGTTTCTGCAAGTTTTCAGATTGTTTCCCGAAAGTGCTAAAAAACTGGCTTTTCGACTAACTGTATTTTCAATACAAAATCGAGAGAAAAAGTAGTTATAAAGCGACCAGGTTGTAGAGCGAACATTTTTGATCAAAATGAGCCTTCTCGAAACTCTTGACAATGTTTTACTGCATTTTACTGGTTACCATTGCTTGTCAAGTCAAAAACGAACTTAGTGTTCGCACAACTTCGTAGCTGCAGAATTTCTCCGTAAAGGAGCGAGGTTAAGAGTTCGAATTGGTCTTAAACTGAAGCTAACATACATGGCTAGAGGCTAATGGAGCCGCATTTTAGATATTCAGTCTAGATTTGCGGTTAGAAAACATCTTCTTGCAAGTTGATATAACTTTTCAAATTTTGGACGCTTGACGCTAACCATTATTTTAAAAAATAAAATATCAAAAAGCGCGCTCTATTAGACTCTGCCCACATGTATTTTCGTCCTTTTGAGACCCTCCCAAGCTCTCCGCGAACCGTCTTTACCGAGAAACCTTGCAGCTACGAACTGCCCCATTTTGACCCCTAATTAAGCAACATCTCTGAAACGTTGATAGATGACGTTGCAAAATTTTACGGAAAGGGTACAAGTATAAGGTGAACATTATCTGAAAGTTTTCTCCAGATTAAACTTTTAGTTACTGAAATACGTTTCTGACGGGGAACTTAAACAGGAGTATAACTAAGAATTGTGTTTAAAACTATACTACATAATACGTTCGGTAAGCCACGCTTCCCTCCGGGACTTACGAGAGATTAATTAATTATATAGATAAATTGTCAAAGAAAAACAGTACTTCCATCTAAAAACTCCTAAATCTACGCCTTTATAGTTATTGGATGTTTCCTCTTAAGTTGTATGTTGGATAAAAAAAACATCTACGAAACAAAAACAGGATAAAACTTCATCGAAAAAGCTTAACAAAACTACAAAGTGTACAACGGTTTGTCCACGTAACGCGACACTTCGCTGATCAAGCTTTTTTTTTCATCGAGAAATCGATAGGAGCTCATAACCCAGACGTAGTTTTTCATGCTGATCACGAATTCGGCCTTTATTTTGAAAAAAACTGAATTTTCAATTAAAAAATTTAAATTTAAAATTTTTGAAAACTTTAATTTTAATTTTGTAACCTAGAGATTTTCATAAAATAATTTTAAAAACATACTGTCGAATAGAGAATTCAGTTCTCTATAAAATGGCTCGTTTTGTTTTGAGAAATATTTCTCAGTCGAGGCACAACGACTACTTGCAAGTTTGAACTCCCGACTCGATTTAAAAGCCTGAGGCACCCTTTAGAAGTCTTTTTGTAAGTGGAGTATCTTCAAGAAGACTAAAAGTACTCAAGCTATAAGTATGAAGTTGTTTGAAGAACGTTCAGTGCCCTAAATGGTGTGACAAAAAAATGTGTAACAACATTACGTTTGTTTTTGCTTTTTTTCCGCGAGTAAAAATAGTCAGAAGAAAATTCTTTTTACCGCTGAACACCTCGTTCGATGCTCTACAAAATTTGTTCTAGAGACATTTCGTTTGGAGAACGACTTTCGCAGGAAATTAGAACTTTAGCAAAAGCACTCCGAATTTAGGGTCTTTTGTATGTAACAGCATTACGCGATGAAAAAACCTTTCTCAAAGCGCGAGACTTCAACCAAAAAACTTCGTTTTATAGCATATATAGAGTACGATAAGTTACGTCGAATGGCGTTCGAACGAACTTTCTAGCTCTCAAACTTTCTGAGATAATTGAGAAAAAGTGTGTTAGAACGTAACAGTGTTACGTTTGGACAAACCAAGACAAAATCTAGGATATAGTCTATTTGAAATATTCGTCACGGTTATTTCCCATATGACTTTGGAAAATAATAATTGTGTTTTCTTCTCATTCTGTAATTATAGTGAATATTCAAAAAACAAGACATTTAACTACTGCTTCCTGCTAGAAATATGTACATACAGAAGAATAAAAATATTCTCATGTTATGAAACCATTTCTATGAGTATTTTCGCTAAATAACATCATATCTGATACAGTACTGGAAAAAATTATAGAGCCACTATATTTTTGAAATTTTTCGATAAAGCTAAGTGGCTAGGTCAAATTTGAATAGTGATTTAGATAGCCCTTGTAGTTCTCTATAGAATGCAGTATACGTCAAAATTTCAGAGAAAAGGTTTTGAAGAAAGTTTTCTAGAAAACTCCGTTCAGCGTAGCTCTACGTTCCAGAGAACTTTGCTAAAAATATTTTCAATATACCCATCTAAAACAGCATAAAATTCTGAAAAACGTGAAGCGTCGCACAGTTCTTCACGATCTTTCGTTGCAAAGTTACAGGCATCAGAAAATCCAAAGAAATAGTATAATCTACGAAAAAAAAAACCGCTAAAAATCGCTCTTTTAGACGGCTATATTGAAAATATTTTTAGCAAAATTCTCTAGGACTTAGAGCTAGAAAACTTTCGTTAAAACCTTTTTTCCTGGAATTTTGACGCATATTGCATTTGATAGAAAACTTCGAGGGCTATCCAAAGCACTATTCAGATTTCATCTAGCTACTCAACTTCATGGAAAAATTTCAAAAATACAGTGGTTCTATAATTTTTTTCAGTACTGTATGTTATTTATCATTCCCAGCAATGTCAAAATCAGTAGCAAGCATCACTATACAAATATACACTGTTTCAATCCCAAAATAAACTGATGAATAATTTTAAGTAGTTTTCTTAACCTAACAGAAAGCGACTTACAGATTCCTTCTGACAGGATACCAGCAGTCGACTGTCATTCAGTATCCATTGTAAAGCATCATCGCAAGTAAATTACAGTTTAAGAGAGATCAACTGTTTTCCATTAGGTTTGAGAATTCAACGGATCAAACGACGAAACACATTAACATCGGCAACTATTTGCATACCCTTTTTTAGGAATAGAAAGGTGGTAAATAATATTAAGACAAATCTATTTTAATATTTTCATTCATGTTGTAGTAATATTATCTCGTATATCGTTAAACCATGGTGGATAGTAATATTTAGCAGGGCAAAAGTTAGATAGCCATGTATTGTTTTTCGGGTATGTTCTATCGCAAATAACTTCTCCTGCTGTTAAAAACCCTGACCACCAACCGAATGTACCAGTCGTAATTATACTATGATTACATAATGTGAGAATAGCTAAATCTTCAGCTGCCGTGAATGTATTAGGTGTTATTATAATATCACTTCTATTTCCAAATGTACGATTACACCATGCTTTGTCATTGCTAACAAAGATAAACATTGCGTTGCTATACTTGTTAGAATAGTAAGCCATAGTTCTATTAATATAATCAACGGAGGAAACGGTAAATCCAAGTTCAGACCAATTTTGGTCAAGAAAATCTCCTCGTCGTATATGCACGCCAATAAGCATTGTTTTAGCTGAAAGAAACTTGTATGGTCTTTTATTTTTGATTGAAAAACACTTTCGTTTATCTTTTCTTGGACAAATATTATGTAGAAATTTAACGGCTTTAAACATGACTCTGTTTTTGAATGTAAACTGTTGTCTGATTTCGTTAATAGAAGTGAGAAAATATTGATAGCTTTGCCAGTTTCCAATTATTTCTAAATTTGTTACGTTTGATGTTATTGTCCGAGATTGATACGCACAACCATTCATTCGACGTTTGATATTGGTTACTTGTTGATATTCTTCATATGTAACTAAACGTGTGGGATATAAAAGAAATATTTGACCTAATTCATTTAATATCATCCTCGTAATAAGCAGTCTACAATTATGAGTTTGTGCTAGGCCGTAAGCGCTCGCGTACATAAACATTCGATTACCAAGTCGTCCTCGTCTGTCTTTAAGTATAATTACACATGATATATCTAAAAGAAAAAGGACAATAGTTTTAGAACTTTATTACTGGAAGGGGTGACTTACTCGTAGAATTGATAGTTCTATTTGTCAAAGAAAATTTGTTTATATTTATATATTGTGGTAACATGGTAAAAAGCGATATATCTAAAAGAACAAACACAATAGTCTTTGGAAGTTTATTACTGGAAGCGATGACTTACTCTTAGACTTGATAGTTTTATTTGTTATAGACAATGATATATCTAAAAGAACACAGACAATAGTTTTTAGAAGTTTATTACTGGAAGGGGTGACTTACTCTTAGACTTGATAGTTTTATTTGTTATAGACAATGATATATCTAAAAGAACACAGACAATAGTCTTTAGAAGTTTATTACTGGAAGCGATGACTTACTCTTAGACTTGATAGTTTTATTTGTTATAGACAATGATATATCTAAAAGAACACAGACAATAGTTTTTAGAAGTTTATTACTGGAAGGGGTGACTTACTCTTAGACTTGATAGTTTTATTTGTTATAGACAATGATATATCTAAAAGAACACAGACAATAGTCTTTAGAAGTTTATTACTGGAAGTGATGACTTACTTGTACACTTGATCGTTTTATTTGTCATAGACAATGATATATCTAAAAGAACACAGACATTAGTGTTTAGAAGTTTATTACTGGAAGGGGTGACTTACTTGTACAGTTGATAGTTTTATTTGTCATAGACAATTTGCTTATGTTTATATATTGTGGTAATATGGTTAAAAATGATATATCTATAAGAACAAAGACAATAGGCGGTAGAACTTTGTTACTGAAAGCGGTGACTTACTCGTAGATATGCTAGTTTTATTTGTCATAGACAATCTGCTTATGTTTATATATTGTGGTACTACGGTAAAAAAAGTTGATATAATAAATAAAATTAACGTTAAAGGTAGAAGAATGGCATAAAAACAAATAGATTTTCGTGTCATATTAGCGAATGTAAATAAAGGATCTAAAACAGAAATTTGTATTTATTAGAAAGTAAAAAATACATTTCTCATATTTTAGTCCATTACGAATAATATGTTCTTCATTATTGTAAGGGCGTATATTCTTCTACCTATAAAAGAAAGATACGCTCTACGCTTCGAATACGTTTTTCTTAAAGGTATGCCACTCCACGTGATTTTCTTTGTGTTATTAATCGACCTTTAGATAGTTCATCTCGCGATGAATCAAACCGTACATAAACGTTCTTTCTAACGTAACGGGATTGATGTACATGACGTAGTCTACAAGAATATTTGAAATAGTAAAAAAATCGTATTTCTTTTTATTATATGATTAGTATGTACTAAAGTCAGTATAACAATGTGCCTTTACCTTCAAAATTTCTTCGCATTAGAAAAGCTCATCTTGAGATTTATAATAATTAATAATAATTCAATAGCTCAAAGTGTTCGTCTATTTTCGAATGCTTTGCTATAATTTCTCACTTGGTTTTGATGATTTTAAAAAGCTTTTTAGTCTATTATTTCTGCTTTTCAACTTTTGGGATATACTTTTCTCTCACATACAACTTTCATGGGGAAATTTTGGTAAATACTGCGGCGTGTACACCCGTGAACGTCGCGAAACGGAATGTGAGCTCAGATGAATATCGTAAATGGTTTGTTGGCACACGTGAAAAAATTATCCGCATGTGACTAGACGTGCACAGTTCACGAAAACATATGTGACGCTTTGTGAATGCGAGTGGGAAAGGAAGCTGCGTGAGAGTGAGCCTGAAAAGTATTTTCATTCTAAAGAATAATCAATTCCATAGAAAAGTGAAGGAAGTGAAAGACTGAGTATAACTTTTTCATAGCTAAAAACATCTCGGGACAAATTGTGTACCATCTCACAGTCCCCATGGATGTAATGTGATAGATTGTTGACTGAGAGTCAATGCTCTGAACCGAGAAAGTAAGCCTTTTATAATAATGTTACTAGAAAAGTCGAAAAATTGAAAAAACCATTGCAAAAATTGAGAAGTCCGAATAATTGAGTGAAAGTTGAAAATATAATTTGTTGTAAAAAGCAATAAATTCAAAATTGTAAAAATTAATAAGGTGCCGGTAATTCAAAAGGTTCGTGCCAAAAATGAATCTTATCGAGTTATACATGGTTAGATAGAGCTCGTCGAGCTGATCACGAATATCACCTTTGAGACCTTTAAAAGTTTTTTCGTCGGCTGAAAAGTTTGAAAAACGGGAAAATCGAAAAAACCGACCGTTTTCGAAAAGTGAATCTTTTCACCTATTTTCGAACGTCGAAAAAATTTCTTTTTGCTATATTCGAATTCAGCACAAAAAGTTGAATATATTCGACTACCTTTGAAAAATTTTTAGCTAAATTCCACGGCCGTCCGCGGATGAAAAGTCAAAATTGAGTCATGTACCTGGCAGAATTATCTAGCCCCTGGTTTTTAGAGGAAACCTCTACTATAATACACCATTCGAATCGCCGTTCAACGGGCTACAAACTAATGGACGCCTTTTTTCCAAAAATATTTTTTCCCTTTCGACAACTCGCACTTCTTACATGCCTTATGACAAAATACAACACTTTCTAGCGTTTTCTCGCTTTGAAGACGACGAACTTGACTTTTTTTGTCTTAATATCATTGAAAAAGTGCTCAGATCTAACATGTTTGGATTCTTGTAAAGCTCTATAAGCTACGGAACGGTGTTACCTCTGTTGTATCAAGGAACTCGGTTAAAGAAGCGTTGTATTCTGCCACGTGCACAGTCTTTCGTTCTGTTCTATTTATTCTTTTTCTCTCGTTCTCTCCTACTGTCACTATAAATAGACCGAAGATAACTCTATTACTCATCATTCACTCATTTGCCTGTTCCTCACTCACACTCTACTATCATGCCTTCACATAAAAAGCAAAAATCTCATCTTCTATCTGCATCAGCTGCTTCGTCGGTAGCCCGAAAAGAAGAGGAGCTCGAAGAAGGAAAACTGGAGATGGACATGAGTGTGGATGATGACTTGTTGATCGGCAGTGCACATCAAGACTTTACTTCTTAGTGCATTTTTTGTGTTCAGTTTTTAAGTATTAAAGA